AAACTACCCTCCATAATTACTTAATGAACTTTTAGTTATATAAACAACTAAACACCCCTCTATAATACTATTTTAAATTGATTTAATGATATTTGTACTAAACTAATGTCGAAAGAACTCAACATTAGTCTTATAATGACCGCATCGTCGATACCTTTCTAATGATATATACATACATATATATATATATATATATATATATATATATATATGTGTGTGTGTGTGTGTGTGTACGTATATATGATTTATACTTTATTTTAATACGTAAATATGCTATTATAATTTGTAACTCGTTCATACGAATTTCGTTTTTGATGTTCTTTATATCCACGCGTAGGTGGAGACGTACTCTACAACTTTCGTTTAGACTCCGTTGGCTAATTTTAACTTTATTTTTAAAGCTATATTTTTAAAAGACCGTGACAAGATTGGTCCTTTAAAATCTCATAACTTCTTCATACGAAGTCAGATTTGGGCGTTCTTTTTATGGACACTCTCAGTTTAACATATTCTACGACTTTAGTTTAGATTTCTAAGGCTAAAAGTCTCTTTATCGTAAGTTCACTATTTACACTTCCCGGTGTCGCGTCGGTTCCGTCGTGAAACTTCGACGAGTCATAACTTCTTCGTTATAACTCGGATTTCGGTATTCTTTATATCCTCGGAATCTTTGTTTCGACCACTACAACTTTATGTAGAGATATCGGGTTTATCTCAAACTTTAATTTTGATGCTTATTTTTATTCTTTATTAATTATATATTTATAATTAAATAATAAGCACATAAATACACATAATTCACATAATACTCAAATATTTCATCTTCATTACTTCAAAAAGAGTTACAATAGTTGACCTAGACTGTTACATTGTCAAAAATGCTAAGCCCCGAAACCCGGGCATTACAGGAATGTTGTCGGGACTTGGTTGAATCAAGGAAACGTCTTTTTCACCATTTAGAAGGTGTGTATGGTCGTGAACAGGGGTGTACGGCCGTGAACTCCTTTTTGAAGGTTGTACGACCCTTTGCAATTTTCAAGGGTGTACGGTCGTACACTCAAGAACAAGGGTGTTTGATTTCGAAGAAAATGTGTTCCAGATGCTCCAAACCGACTCCAAATGATGATTTTTGATCATTTTCGGAAAAAAAAAAGATGTGTTTTTAGTGTGTACGGTCAGGGGTTCTAGAGAGAGAATGGGAGAGTTTCTGGCCAATAGTGTTCAAATGAGGGTGGGGGTCCTGTATTTATTGGCTGGGGTATGGTCGGTGGGTAGGGTCCACCTGACACGTGGACGGGTGTGCGGCCGTACACGGGTGTGCGGCCATACACTCACCTAGGCCAAAACTGGTTTGTTTTTCAAGGACTTTGTCGCATGATTTAGTTCCAACTAGATGATCCCCTAAACCATGAAGTTTTGACTGGAAACTTAATAAAAATTCAAATTTTATTAACAGAATTTGGATAATGGAAACGTAAAAGGATTCGAGTTGTCACAGCAGTGTCCAATATCCAAATACTTTTGAGTTGTTATGACAGTGATATTGTTCCTATATGTATAAGTGTTAGTATACTTCTTAATAAATACTTATATTTTAAAAGTATACTTGGAGTCAGAGCTCTTATCCCCAAATGTATTTATAGTTTGTATATCTTTTATGGATTGATATATTGAGTTCACTATAAACAATGTTCTGATACCAATCTGCCACACCCCCAAACCAGACGGCGGAAATGTCCAGGGATGGAGGACTTCATTTGTAGTATCACAACACATTCATCATAGTAATCAAAATACAAACAACCATTGTATTTAAAAAGTAAAAATATTTACATGTGTTCAATTTCTATATATTGACACTAAAATTGTTACAACATAATACAAAAGATATGACTCAAAACGGCTCTATCTTCTCAAAAGCTCGGGGAGTACCTGTTTATTATTTCTTTGAGAATACAAGTAATTTGAAAAGAAAGTATCAACATAAAGTTGAGTGAGTGCATAAGTATTTATGTTTAAAAGTATGTTTTCTGTTTTTTGAATATCTAAATTGTTCCAGAAAATCCTATATTTTCTGTTGTATATGAAAAGTAGTTTTAATCTCATAAAACCGTTCTGTTTGTAAACTATTATTCGGTGGTTGTGTACTTTTTGTAAAACCTGTAAAAGTGAATGTGTCTGGCTCCACCAGCTGTTATTGTAAATTGTAATGTAATACTTTAAACTGTATTTCTGTAAACTATTACTTTGAAAATATACTCATGTTTAATTAATTATACACTAACATATTGTTAATATATTTTTAATGTTTTATTATAACCATACTATGACTAGATGTTCTGAAACAAATGCTTTGAAGACGTTTAAACTATTGATAACAACTGTCACTCATAGGCGTGTATGTCCGTGTAACGATCCGTCTTTGGTATGTTGTTTTTATATTGTTTATTTAGAAGTTTGCAGAGGGACTCGGCGAGTCTATTGCCCGACTCGTCGAGTAGAGACGGGATCTTGAGCAGCGTTTAGATCGGCGACTCGGTGAGTCCATATTCGGGACTCGGCGAGTCCGCCTGCCAGATAGAAACCCTAAATCCCCGGGTTTGCACCCTATTTAAACCATCTTATGAGCCCCAAACTCGTCTCCTTCACCCTCAAAGCATCATTTAGCAAACCCTAACCATTACCTTGAGTATTTGAGCATTTCTTGTGGGAATCTTGAAGTTTTGAAGAGAAGAAGGAGGCTAGATCCAAAGGAGAAGAAGAAGATCCAAGGTCTTGCACCCATTTCAGAGTTTATTGAGGTAATAATCGGATTCCTTCTGTTTCTATGATTGATTCTCCTTTATAAGCATATTTAACCCATTTTATCCATTCCTTAGCTTGTTCATAGTAGAGAGATCACATTAGATTGATTAGCCTTCGAATCTAGCCATGTTTCAGTTCCAAAAACGTAGATCTATCACCTTTATGGAGCCATTTTGCATGATAGCCCTAGATCTACTCTTCCAAGTGCCTTTTTAGCCTTTATATCCTTTTTCATGCATATGTACACGTAAAGTTGGAAACTTTACGTGGTAAACCAGCCTTAGAAACTCAGATCTAGAAATTGTATGCAGTGGTTTTGAGCAGAATCGAGTTTTTAGTAATTGCATGCATGTGACTCGGCGAGTCGAGTCGCGAGTCCCCGATCTTTCCCCTTTGAGTGATTCCGAGTGGGGACCAGTGAGTAGTAGAATGGACTCAGTGAGTCGAAGGTTAGACTCAGTAATGGAGGGACTCGATGAGTTGTTCATACAACTCGGCGAGTCTAAGACAATCTTCTTAGATTCAAGAACAACTCGTCGAGTTATTCATACAACTCGGCGAGTCGGATGCAGATAGCCTGAGTTTTAGAATCGAATGGGAACTCATCGAGTTTATGCCATACTCGACGAGTAGCAGCAAGCAGGGTTGAGCAATGAGAGTAGGGACTCGGCGAGTTGGCGGCCCAACTCGGCGAGTCAGGTCAACTTTAAGTTAACTTTGACCAGGAGAGTTGACTTTAGCCAGGGGTAAAAGAGTCATTTTACCCCAATGCAGTTATTAGTATTTGATTGAGTGTATTTGTGGAATTGTATCCGGGGAGATACCAGAGCAGCAGCAGATAGCTTCCAAAGCCATACACTCAGCAGCCAGATCACGAGGTGAGTTTCCTTCCAGTAGGAACGGGTCTAAGGCCACAATGTCGGCCCGTTCAGTTAGCAGTAGTTTCCGGACTTCGGTCCGATGCAGTAGTTAGTATGTTTGATGCCTTCGTGGCTCAGACAGGATTTATGTGTTATGTGTTATGTGTTATGTGTTCCGGGCAACGGCCCGATGCAGTATGCAGTATATGTGTTTATGCTAGTTGATATGTTATGCTATGCTATGTTCAGTCAGTTTCCGGACTTCGGTCCGATGCAGGGGGCAAGGCCCCAGTTAGTCCGGACTTCGGTTCGATGCAGGGGACAAGGTCCCAGTTAGTTTCCGGACTTCGGTCCGATGCAGGGGGCAAGGCCCCAGTTAGTCCGGACCTCGGTCTGATGCAGTGGACAAGGCCTAGTATGTGCTTTATATGTATTGTATGGTATGTGGTAGTTTGTGGGAGCTCACTAAGCTTCGTGCTTACAGTTTCAGTTTTGGTTTCAGGTACTTCCGCAAGCAAAGAGAAGAGCTCGGGTTGATGGCATCGCATACACCACAGTTTCAGTTGTCCTGTGAGATGTTTTTAGTTTTTCATAAATGTGATTTGATACAGTTTTGATACAGTTCTTCATAACACTTTGCTACTGTTTTGAGATATTGACGTACGAGTTTTATTTTATGATATTATCATAGTGTTTTTAGTAATTGTTAAACAAAAATTTTTGGATCGTATTTTGGGATGTTTCAGTCCGACTATAGTTAGCAGCCCGAGTGCAGGGTTGTCAATCCTAATATAAATCTATACACACTTGTTTCGATCCTCGGCTGGAGATTCTGATTATAATATCAGGACTTTAACTATGTTGTTTAAATGAATAAACAACCTGAACATAACTAGACGAGTTGCAAACACATAGTATGAATCCTCATCCGGATTCTGGAACAAATTTCCATGATGAAAGAGAATCAATATGGTGTAATATTCTTGGATCACATGTATAATCCGTAATAAAAACACGTCAGATTCATAACTATCACATGATAACTCTTATTCTCGTTAACGTAAGTCTTGAAATTTCATAAATTAAAATCAAAATCGCTACTTTTATTATGGGTAAATTAAGTTTCAAACGTATCCAATGTATTTGATTTAGAAGACCCGGTTTGCAAATTAAGATTGCACTTAACACTCAAAAAATGAAAAAGAGAACTTTGCAGGATGAACATTGATAATTATGAATACGAGTACATTATAGGAATTATAATCCACTTTTATTACATTACCATGCGGTTAGTAACTACCTAACCATATCGTCCAGGATTGATCCCTATTATAACTATAAGCTTCGCTTCTCCTTGTAATCGTGATGCCCGTTTTCTTCACTATCTCGATTCCGGCCATCCAATAACGACTTTGAAGAAACCGATTTGTCTTCCGCTAACTCCAAATCACCTTCCCCTTGTCCATCTTTAATCATTTCGAGCGGTTTATTCGTATAGTAATAAGCACAAGTCACGTAATACACTAAGTTCACTACTTGTATACCACTCATCAACCAATAGTAATAATCCAACTTTCCCTTGTTCAGATTCCGATCTGGTAGCCAGTTGTGTTCCTTTCCGGTGTACTCATGAATCAACGATACCACCAACGTCCCAATGTAGCTCCCTATAGCTACTGCAATCCAATTCAGCGCCATGCAAGTACTTCTCATGCTTTCCGGTGATTGATCGTAAAGAAACTCCAAATGCCCGACTGACATGAACGCCTCCGCTACACCATGCAAGCAAAACTGAGGAACGAGCCAGAAAACAGATATAGGAATCACGACGTTTGGTTTGTCAAGTAGGTTATTACTAGATGCAACTTGTTTTCGCTTTATTTCAACCAGTGCCGAGACTAATGTAGCCAATATGTTTATAGCAAAACCGATACCCATTCGTTGCAAGCATGTGATGCCGATAGGGTTTTTGGTGAAGCGTCGTGCAAATGGGACGAAGAAACGCTTGTAGGTCGAAAGACAGATTAGCATGGTGAGGACACCGAAGATCGATAGACTTGCAGGTGGAATTTCGAAAGAAGGGGACATATGGCGATCCATGGTTCCTGCTTGTATGATGATGAAGCTATGTTGATGGGATTGCGACGTGACATGGAGAATCGCCGCTGCCCATATGGGTATCATTCGTATGACGGATTTTATCTCCTCCACCCTGTGGACTGTCGCTAGCCTCCACAAGTTCGGACATGAAGGATCTTTTATGTCATCTTGTGTTACAATCGCAGCTCGATCAAACCACCTGTGATATGACAATATTGATAACAATACTTATGAGTTATAACTTATCACTTTTTGCTTTAATGTCAAATCAGAGGGTAATGAATTACTTTAACGTATCAGTATGAAGAAGTCTTCCATCCGCTGAAATACCAGCATCTAACTTCCTATTTTCGTAAAGAGGTGTCACGTTTTCTTGTACAACCAGTTTCCTTTTTTTAACAGCAGCAACCACCACCTGAGCGACTCGAACCAATGGGCTACCTTCGGGTTTCACCCTTCTATAAAGATGAGCTGCGACCACGAACGCGAGGAACGACAAAACCATTGCGATGGTTGGGATACCGAGACCCAATCCCCAACCGACACGATCTTGGACATAAACGACAACTGTTAGAGCTGTGAGTGTTGCGAGTCCCATGCAAAAGTAGTACCAATTGAAGAAGTTGCGTCCGACGCTGCTGGGGTTTGATTTGCCGGTGGACATGTCAAATTGATCAGCGGCGAAGGTGACAACGTTAGGGCGGATGGCGCCGGAGCCGAGGGAGGTGAGGAAGAGGCAGAGGTAGAGGATCCATAGCTGAGAGGAAGAAGCTTCTGTACAGTTCTCTTTGGTTGGACATGGCGGTGGCCGTAGCTGTGGTAGTATTGATGATGTTGTGATGCAGACCATCCCCTGTTGATCAACCGAGTCATGAGGTTTGACTTAAATATTATCTTAAAAATTATGCAAACCATTTTTCGATATGAATTAATCATATAAATTTGAAAATTTCAACAAATTGGTGTTATAGAAACAAGTGTTTCGGTCATTTTCATATATATATATATATATATATATATATATATATATATATATATATATATATATATATATATATATATATATATATATATATATATATATATATATATCTATACTACTTTATAATAGAAATCCAACTATTTCCATAAATAGATTCAATATAATAATAATATTTTTTAAGACGTCCAAACCATTAAGCTGTTAGTACAAGTAATCATTAATAAAATAATATTAAATTTTAAGAGGTATAACCCTTATTACGCTATTTACAATGAGTTTATGCATAGAAAAATACCAAATCTTACGCGGTTAACATGAATTACGTACATATTGAATAGGCTTTGGCTTTCTTCTTCAAATTGAACTGGTCAAAGAAGAACCCGTCTTCCTCAGATTTTGCCAATTGAATCGGTCTATAGATAAACTTTATATATCATCTCTTATCTTAGTATCTATAGCCCTTCCTTGTAGAATAACCCTAGATGAGTCGCCATCTCTTCTCTCCTTGAACTCTCTCCCTCTCTATTAAATACTCTAAAATTCCTCCCATATTCGACGCAGTTACCCACCACACCTTGACCACTGAGACCATTACAGTCGCTGCTAAACACCTCTGCCTTTCTCTTCTCTTGCATATCTCCTTTAGAAACCCGAATATCGAACATCACAACACCATCAGTAAACTTTGTTGTCACATAACCTTCACTACCATCAAACAGGCCACCTTCATCATCATCGCACTTCATCTTACCACCGTTCACAACCCCCATCTCTCGACATCTAGCATATGCTACTGTTCTATTCTCTAATTATTTGATTTTGATCGATTGCACCGGTCAAGTCTAGAACGAATCTTTTTCTTCATATCATATTCTCTTTTTGTGGTCATAGGTCTCCAACCATCTCTCTCTCTCTCTCTCTCTCTCTATTGCAGAACCAGGAGGCAAACACTATTAATTTACAAACGTTCTCTAACAATACAGGTTTTTGTTAGCAATTTTAAAGTGTTCTTTTCAGTCATTTATCACATAATCGTCAATGTTTACTCTCAATTTCCGGTGTTTCCTCTCCATTTCAGGTTCTGATGTTTGTCTACATTTTGGGTAATCATTTGTATATTAAATATTCTTGTATAAGTGTATCTAGAGTAAAGCTTTCTTGTTTAAGTGGTACTAAGGGTATTTGTGTCCTTTTGACATTTCTCAACTATCTGTATCAATTCAGGTATATCTTCAACTATCTGTACTGATATGGACTCCAGTTAATGAAGGAAATATCTTATTACTCTATCATTTTACTGTAGTTGTTGAATCCTTATCCATTTAATTAATGTTTGTTTTCAAGAAAAATAACAATTTTTGTTATGAATTGGGTGAAAATCACAGAAATCGAACTGTTATCATGACCTCACCACCATCGTCTACCATCTTTGTCTTCTCCCCTATCTTTGTATTCACACTCTAATTAAACCCCAACGTTGAAGCCTTCACTAACCATCTCCATCTTCACCACTATCCAGGTAAATAGTTCTATCAAATTCTCTGTTCCATGTTTTTTTTTTAGTTTTACTTAATTGTCATATAATGATTTTACTCTGTGTTTCATGGATATATCGATTCTTACACTCACCTATGTTGTTTAAGATTATTTAGAGCTATTCATAAATGCCAGATTATTTGATGAGATCAGCACACACTATTTCCAACCAGTTTTAGGGTTAGTTGTTTATTTTATTCACAATTTATGAGCTTGTTTTACATTGTTTTTTGCAGGAGTATATTGTCTAACACCCAATGTGCAGAATATTGGTTCAAGTTAATTCAATATATTTCAAAACTTGACTATGATTATTGTGTTTAATTCATCTTGGTTTTGTTTTTGGATTGTAAGAATTTTATTATTATTTTAAGTTGTTTTAGTTTATCTGATTTATAGGTTTTGGATAATTTTTTCATTTGATGTCCACTCTCTCATTTTTTCGAAGCACGACCTGTTACTTCATCTCTTCAACAGTTCAACTGATTGTGATTCTCACGATTAAAAGAAAGAGTGATTTTATTCTAGAGAATTATCTCCCCTTACAAGCTCAAGTTAAGTTTTTTTTAACCCAAATTGCACATTTGGTATTATCAATATTCTTAATATTTGAATGCAATTGCAGATTAGCTAATACCGTACTTCCATTTTATCTTATTCTTTGCATTGAAAACAACTAAATACAAGGAATAGCATCGTACTTTCATTTATATGCGAAACTCTAAGCTTTCTTCCCCAATTCGCATTTATACATTAAAAACTTCGCATTTTCATTCAAATTCTTCGCATCTTGCATCCATCCGTCTTTGAGTTCATTCGCATTTCATCGCATTAACTGAGAAATTAATCAGTTGTCTCATATTCGCATTTCAGTTGTTTGAGAAACCCAGATACGAACCCAAATGCGAAACCCACTGATTTCAAATGCGAACCAACCAAAAATCATCAACCACGTACTTGTGTCACCAAATGCGAACTGAATATCACCATTAAATTCTCCTCGCATTTTATAGATGCGAACACAATCCAGATCTCCGACTCCAAGCTTGCGAAATCAAAATCAATTAACCTCAAACAAATCGTGAACTTCTTATGCGAACTGTTTTGACCCACAAAACCAAATGCGAACTCAATTGATGTCATATGCGAATTGATTTCATAGATGCGAACACAATTGATTTCATATGCGAATCCACATCCATCGATATGAAACCAATACCAGTTACAAGTAATTAGTAGCAACCATCGATCCTCTAATTTTCAATTACTCAGCCTTCGCTTTTCATACAACCCGTCGACCCTGAAAAATCGATAAACACCAAATGTCTCATTTTTAGATCGATTTTCTGATTAAATGTCATATTTGAAGAATGATCGATTTTCTGATTAAATGACCCCATTTTGCGAAGTTGGACCACTTATATTATTTCTTGAAAAGATAGGTGCCAAATGCGAAACTCTAAGCTTTCTTCCCCAATTCGCATTTATACATTAAAAACTTCGCATTTTCATTCAAATTCTTCGCATCTTGCATCCATCCGTCTTTGAGTTCATTCGCATTTCATCGCATTAACTGAGAAATTAATCAGTTGTCTCATATTCGCATTTCAGTTGTTTGAGAAACCCAGATACGAACCCAAATGCGAAACCCACTAATTTCAAATGCGAACCAACCAAAAATCATCAACCACGTACTTGTGTCACCAAATGCGAACTGAATATCACCATTAAATTCTCCTCGCATTCTATAGATGCGAACACAATCCAGATCTCCGACTCCAAGCTTGCGATATCAAAATCAATTAACCTCAAACAAATCGTGAACTTCTTATGCGAACTGTTTTGACCCACAAAACCAAATGCGAACTCAATTGATGTCATATGCGAACTGATTTCATAGATGCGAACACAATTGATTTCATATGCGAATCCACATCCATCGATATGAAACCAATACCAGTTACAAGTAATTAGTAGCAACCATCGATCCTCTAATTTTCAATTACTCAGCCTTCGCTTTTCATACAACCCGTCGACCCTGAAAAATCGATAAACACCAAATGTCTCATTTTTAGATCGATTTTCTGATTAAATGTCATATTTGAAGAATGATCGATTTTCTGATTAAATGACCCCATTTTGCGAAGTTGGACCACTTATATTATTTCTTGAAAAGATCAGGTGCCAAATGCGAAACTCTAAGCTTTCTTCCCCAATTCGCATTTATACATTAAAAACTTCGCATTTTCATTCAAATTCTTCGCATCTTGCATCCATCCGTCTTTGAGTTCATTCGCATTTCATCGCATTAACTGAGAAATTAATCAGTTGTCTCATATTCGCATTTCAGTTGTTTGAGAAACCCAGATACGAACCCAAATGCGAAACCCACTAATTTCAAATGCGAACCAACCAAAAATCATCAACCACGTACTTGTGTCACCAAATGCGAACTGAATATCACCATTAAATTCTCCTCGCATTCTATAGATGCGAACACAATCCAGATCTCCGACTCCAAGCTTGCGATATCAAAATCAATTAACCTCAAACAAATCGTGAACTTCTTATGCGAACTGTTTTGACCCACAAAACCAAATGCGAACTCAATTGATGTCATATGCGAACTGATTTCATAGATGCGAACACAATTGATTTCATATGCGAATCCACATCCATCGATATGAAACCAATACCAGTTACAAGTAATTAGTAGCAACCATCGATCCTCTAATTTTCAATTACTCAGCCTTCGCTTTTCATACAACCCGTCGACCCTGAAAAATCGATAAACACCAAATGTCTCATTTTTAGATCGATTTTCTGATTAAATGTCATATTTGAAGAATGATCGATTTTCTGATTAAATGACCCCATTTTGCGAAGTTGGACCACTTATATTATTTCTTGAAAAGATCAGGTGCCAAATGCGAAACTCTAAGCTTTCTTCCCCAATTCGCATTTATACATTAAAAACTTCGCATTTTCATTCAAATTCTTCGCATCTTGCATCCATCCGTCTTTGAGTTCATTCGCATTTCATCGCATTAACTGAGAAATTAATCAGTTGTCTCATATTCGCATTTCAGTTGTTTGAGAAACCCAGATACGAACCCAAATGCGAAACCCACTAATTTCAAATGCGAACCAACCAAAAATCATCAACCACGTACTTGTGTCACCAAATGCGAACTGAATATCACCATTAAATTCTCCTCGCATTCTATAGATGCGAACACAATCCAGATCTCCGACTCCAAGCTTGCGAAATCAAAATCAATTAACCTCAAACAAATCGTGAACTTCTTATGCGAACTGTTTTGACCCACAAAACCAAATGCGAACTCAATTGATGTCATATGCGAACTGATTTCATAGATGCGAACACAATTGATTTCATATGCGAATCCACATCCATCGATATGAAACCAATACCAGTTACAAGCAATTAGTAGCAACCATCGATCCTCTAATGAGGAAACAGTTTCCTATTCGATTGTGCTTTGCAATGACAATCAATAAAGCTCAGGGACAAACAATTCCATATGTTGGTATCTATCTTCCAGAACCAGTATTCTCGCATGGACAACTTTATGTTGCATTGTCCAGAGGGGTTTCACATTGCAATACAAAAGTATTAGTAAACCCTAACGAAAATTCAAAAGGTGATGGGGTTTATACAACAAATGTGGTGTATAAAGAAGTATTGCACGATTAATATTTTGTGTCGTCTTGATTGGTTGCTTTTTATTGGTTATTTGATGCATGATGTAACAAATAACACCATAGTTTGATTATATTGTCTTCAACATGTACTTTTTTTTAACATAACAATTTTGTAATGGAAACATATCACCGAAAGAACTCACGTGCCCCGCCGCTTTGCGCGGGTAGACGGCTAGTATATATATATATATATATATATATATATATATATATATATATATATATATATATATATATATATATATATATATACTAGATGTGAAACTCATGCATTACATGGATTTACTTAAAAAGAAAATGAAATATGAAATTTTTACAATTTAAGAAGTTTGAATTTATAAGAAAAATAAGAAAAAATTTAAATTATTAAATTTAATGAGGTTTTAATACATTGAATACATTGCATATATAAATCATTTCTAATAAATATCTTACATATATATTATATATTACCTTATATATTAAATGTGGAATTTTAATTTAATAAAATGAAAAATACAATAAAATG